CCAAGGGCAGATCCCCCCAGCCTTACCCAAAACACCGCAGCAAGAGGCACGCTGCGTCGCCAGCCCGCCCACTTTGCCTTGCATCTCTGGGAACATCCTCAACGTCAACAGGGAGTTGCCGCAGCTGCTGAAAGAGTTTGGAGAAGTCACTGGTGACCAGAACTGGAATCCAGCAGATGCCAAAGCAGGGCAAAAGCGCAAGCAGCCCTCACCCCAGGGAACAGCCAAGGCCTCTCGGCTTTCTGACTCTGCCTTGCTGACCCAGGAAGAGCAGACCCAGCTGGGGTGACTCAAAGGTGACTTTGACTGGAAAGCCGTCTTCAACGCTGACCTGAACGGACACACCTCCGCTTTTGGGGAGCTGGAGCTCACGACTCCAACGAGCCCCATATTGCACGACGTGGACTTGGCAGCACGACTCAAAGGTGACTTTGACTGGAAAGCCGTCTTCAACGCTGACCTGAACGGACACACCTCCGCTTTTGGGGAGCTGGAGCTCACGACTCCAACGAGCCCCATATTGCACGACGTGGACTTGGCAGCACGCGGGCACATTGACTGTGCCCAGGGGCAGGAGCAGCTCCTCACTGAAGCCAGCCAGAACAACCTGGACTTTGACGAGACCCTCATGGCCACTTCTTTCCTGCAGCATTCCTGGGACGAAGGAACCAACGATTACCTCTCCAACTCCGTCAACGTGTAGCAGTTGTGTGAACTCGACACCACCTCTTTGCCAGTGGACGTGAGTGACTGGAGCAGTCTGGCGTCCCTCTTGTAAGAGGCCAGTCGCTTTAGGAGGATGCTCCCCCCATGCTGCTGGGCCTCACAAGGGACAAGATTTTCTACAGACAGAGACATCCCGAGTGACTTTTACCGGCGTCATCGTAACATTATTCACAGAAACACTGGGGGGAGAAAAAAACACTACAGGAACTGTTTGATACATCTTTAAAGGACACATCCAAAGTCTCCAGTCCATGAATTTCCTCAAAAGAACAACTAGAACACTACTTATTTTTTTAATTTTAAAGGAAGAAATGTGAAATATTGTAATTTTTTTCTGCGGAAATGGTAACAACATATGTTCTGTCAGGACTGAAAGGGAGCACCTGCTAAACGCCATCTGAGACATGAGACTCCTGGTGGCTTAGGACTGGATAGACTAAGTGCAACTTCCTTGAGAAAGATACCCAACCAAGGACACAAATGACTTGCAAATACCTTAGCTGATGAACTCGAGACTGGAAAGAAGCCATTTGCAGGACTCCAGAGTGGACCACAGTGAAAGACTTGAACTTTTTTGGGAATGACGGGTTGGTGTCATTTATGGATTTATAATTGTGGATATGGACTTTTAGTTAAACCTCTATATGAACTACTGAAAAATGGTCAGACACAAATAACTTGGACTGGCAAGGCCAAAAGGGTGTTCCAAGAACTGAAACTGGAACTGATGAGGGCACCAGCTTTGGGTCTGCCTGATGTAACAAAACCTTTCTGACTGTTCTCCTATGAGACAAGGGGTGGCTTTAGGAATTTTGGCTCAAAAACTGGGTCCTTATAATGAGCTGTGGCATACTTCTCTAAGCCATTGGATGGAGTAAGCAAAGGATGGCCAGGATGCCTTCGGGCAGTGGCTGCTGTTACTCTAACCATCCAAGAACCACGAAAATTCACTCTGGGACAAAAGATAATTGTGCACACTTCTCATGCTGTAACCTCTGTTTTAGAACAAAAAGGACGACACTGGCTTTCCCCGCTGAGATTCCTAAAATATGACAAAACAAGATGATATAGAGATTGTTGTATCTACTATCACCAATCTGCTTCCTTTCTAAGCGAAAAACAAGAACTGGAGACTGTTGTGCATGATTGCATGGAGACCATTGAGACTGTGTGTGCGAGCAGACCGGATCTTAAAGAGGAACCTTTAGAGGAAGCGGACCGTACCTGGTACACCGATGGGAGGAGTTTTGTAAGAAATGGAATTGGAATGGCCAGATATGCTGTAACCACCAAAGATGGAGTGGGAGAAGCAAAATCACTCCGAAATGGAATTGGAATGGCCAGATATGCTGTAAGCACCAAAGATGGAGTGAGAGAAGCAAAATCACTCCCTAAGGGTACATCTGCATGAGCTGAAATAGTTGCCTTGGTAAGGGTGTTAGAGCTCGCCAAGGAATTGCGAGTAACCGTATGGACAGACTCAAAACACACCTTTGGTGTAGTTCACGCCCATGGAGCAATTGGGAAGGAACGAGGACTCCTTACCATAACACACCTTTGGTGTAGTTCACGCCCATGGACCAATCAGGAAGGAACGAGGACTCCTTACCACTCAAGG